TGTTTTTTTCTCGTTTGATTTTTGGTCATCAACAACAACTTTGGCGCTAGTCTGGCAGACAGGCTCTGTTGTCTTTGAAGCAGATCTCCCACGCCTTCTTGCAGGTACAGTGCCCCCTCCCTTATCTTCTGTGCCATGTTGATCCTCATGTGGTTCAGTTTTTAATTTGACATGAGCACTTGAAATCTGGTCGCCCTGAATGTCCTTGGCTTTAGGCGGATCCTGAATTCCTTTTATCTTCAACTTCTTCACAGATTTTTTATGAGGCTCCTTCACGGTTTTCATTTTCTTTTTGGCCACCAACTTTATAGTAATCCTTGGTGCTGTTGATGAGGCCCTGCTTTTAGTGGACTGACGGTCGGTCATAGTGTTTTTTCCTTTCGAACCTTTCCTGCAGTCCTTTGCAGGCTGTGCTTCAGGAGATAAGCCATGTATTTCCTCCAAAGAGTTTACATCTTTTACAGCATCAGGTGGGGTAATAGCTGCCTCCATTGCTGGCATTTTAAGTGGTAGCTTCTCACTTTGTCGTTTAGACTTTGTGTTGACAGCATCACCTAAAAAACAAAAACATTAAATATTACAAAATTCAGGGCTCTTCCTCTGGATGCAAAAAATGAGATGCTGAGACGCCGGATGCTTAATTTAAAACTTCCCACTGTGTTGTTTATAAATTACACCAAATATGTAATGTGGCGCAGTAATATATTTTTCATTACCTCTGGAAGGGTTTTGTCGCGACCATACAGGTCCTTTGGAGCGTTTTCTCTCAGCTTCAAATCCTCTGAAGTCATCTCCCTTAAAAAAAAAAAAAAAAAGCAGGTAATTAACACCTGAGCACTCTGCTGGTGGGTGCCAAACCATAACCAAAAACAATAACTAAAATGTTTAGTTTATAGAATTCAATTTGAATCCCTGAGCATGGCATTAGTTACATCCACTGCACAGATCAAGTTGATGGAAGAACAAAAAATGTCTCTGAATGTTCATTATGAAGAATGGATTCATGTCCACCATAATGATGATTTTATCAATACACTTAACATAAAAATGTATGTCTATCTTTGCATATTGGAGCATAAGCTATGTCAAATAATAAAAAAAAGGTTACTTGGTTAAGGTTTTAGAGCAATAATATCAATGACAATGGACAGTTGATTCACTTTTTTTCTCACATTCAAACCACATCCTTTCATTCATCCCATCTGAGTTGTAATACATTAAACACGGAGAGGGCCTGATATTTGTGACAATCAAAAATGTATTTAGCTGTTTGGGAGAACTCTTCCTGAACTTGTCACGATGAAATTGCATGTAATCTAGATTATTTACCACCGCATGCATGCTCAGAACTCAGCCTTTCTATGAACCACACTACCTACAAAAAACTGCAGGGAAAGGTGCGTCTGTAATTACGATTCCCTCCAAGCACTGCACATCCCCATGCTTGCAGCTCTGACCTGAAAGCCTACAACACCCTCCACGTTTATGAATCAGGATAAGACATTAACGACCATAGGTGTATTAGAAGGGAGCTTTTAGTTATAAAAAAGAGGTGGAACTGGCTTTGACACCCTTCTGCACCACCATTTAAACCTATCCGTGCTTGGTATCATTAGCTAGCAGTTAGCCAACCCTCCATCTCGAAAGCATTTAAGATCACTTCTGTCTGCAGAAAAGCTACTTAGCCACAATTAAAACTTAGTTATCTTAGTGTTAATATCGCACCTGCCTTGTGTATACAAGTAAAACCCTGCACGATGTGTGCGTGCTTTCTTATTTAAACTTGTTAAGCAGATAACTCGGTCGCATCTGGACATCGTATGAAAACAGGTAGCAGTTAGCCGCTGTGCAGGATACAGAGGCGCTAGCCTTCCCGTTCTTTGTGTTCGCTACTATTAGCTAGCTGCTACTCTGGCCCGATAACGAGCGGGCCATAGATGAAATAACTGCGATCCCTGTTTACAAATTGGCGTACTCACTAACTGGCTTATAAAAAATATCTTCTACTCATATGTTCACCCTCCAGTATTTTAACCTACATGAGAGCAATCGAGGGAACAATGCTAATGTCATTTGAACTGCTCTGCTGCTTTGTTTAAGTGGTATTTTGAGACGCGACTGTTCATTAAATGTCATGGGAAGCTACACTGTGCTAACGTTAGTTAGCATGTAATGTTAGCTTATCAAGCTTGAAGCTAAAGTTAACGTTAGCCTAGCGAGAGGATGTTGACATTTCTCCATGGCACTAACAAGTCACACCGCCGCGGACAGCACCCATTCTTGCACATTTAACGAACACTCAAAATGTCAGAAGATGAAATAAAGATACTAACTCCTGGGTCGGTTTGGGACCTCACCTCTTCACTCCCACTAGAGCTGTATCCAGCCTGGCCAAGAGTCTTGTGGCTCGCCTCTATCCCAAGTAAGCGCAAGTGAGACTGGTCTTCGTTTAACGATAGAACCAGGTTTGCGGGCCTTGGCCCTCCGTTAGTCACATCATCAGCTTCTAAGCCTGATCGTCCGAGTTGCCATCGCTTCTCAGAGCGCAAACGACTGCGTGACGACCAAGGCCGACCGGGGAAACGACCTCTGGCCGTAGCGGTTCCACCTTGGCCTCCTACGGCAGCCGCGGTTGCTGATCCGCATCCCGCTGCCGCCATCATTGCTTCAACAACAACACACACACACACCGACGGCTAGCAGTTCGAGGAGAGACAAGAGGGAAGGCGCGAGATGGGAGGGGGGAGCCGCATTGCTGCAAGGGAAAGTGAGTTCTTTTCGATAAGGCTCCAACAGTTTAAGGAGAAAAGTAGTTCGACCCCTGGTGGTGATCGTACGTCCAATCTCCATTCACAAATATATACTAAACTATACATATACTAATTTACGCTGAAAACTGGCCCTAACTCACTGATAAATTTTGTTTATGTTTATGTATCCCAATAAAATACCAAGATTCCTTGTCCGCTGTAAAATATCATATTGGTAAGTTAAATGTTTTCAGTACTTTTCATAATAAATGTCATAATACACTATCAAAAACAAAAACAGCCTTCAAATTGGACGCAATTGTATCAGCACCCAGTTTTAACCAAACTGACCTTGAATAAGGTAGGCCAGGCTTATTCTGGAGTCAAACTAATCAGCAGATGCAAAAATGCAAAAGTGGAAATCTCCTTGTTTAAAATTGCTCCCATGACAATGAACTGGAAAATGGGGGCGTTTCTGAAATGATAATAAAAAGAGACTTAGCCTAATCATTAATCAAAACATATGCCGGCAGAGGCAGATACCAAAGAGCAACAGTATCACATAATTTAAGTGAACTATAATTTAATGCCCTGGCTCTATTGTAATGCGGCAGATGGCAGTATGTTTTGACACTGGAAGCAGCTGATGACGAAGAATAGGGAAAGGAGAATATGTTACTGCATGTCAAAAAGCAAGACATATTTTCAACGTAAGATATATTTTGTTTGTTTGTTTCTCTTTTTTAAATTCCATTTCATTGTTTATTATTTATTTATTTTATTTATATGTGACTTTCTGCTTTGGACTTAAACGCCATGTAATAAAGACAATTTAATTGAATTGAAATAGAAGCAGAAATCGTCAGAATTACGTCAGCAATACATTTTACGTTTAGATTAATTTGTGTTCAGTTTCAGCCCATGTAAAAGAAAAAAGTAGCCTGATGCAGAATACACTGATTACTAGAAATATGGCAAAATCTCTTGTTCAATAATAATTTGTTGTTGACAGAAAATATAAATATAATAGCAATATTGTTTGTGCCGTGTCCGGGTTCCAGACCTCTGAATTCCAGCGCAAATCCCAGATTTGTTATGCAAACAAATTACATGGCAATTATCAGGGGAGGGTCTTTGCTAAAGAACTTGATGAACATTTGTTATCTAGTCTACTAACGTATCAGTGAAGTGTGAGGGCAGGCAAGGGAAGGACTAAAGTACTTTATTAATCTTCTTAAATCTATGATTTAAACCGCTGATGAAGGCGTGCATTGTCATATACTGTATTGTTACCATAGACTGTATAAAAGATGGTTTCCCATGTCACACGGTTTGGTACAGTAGGTGGCGATATAGTGCAGGTTAGCGTGCTTTTTGACCCCCACCCCCCCGCCCCAAAGAAAAAACAAAGAAGAAGGACGAAGGAGTGAGGAAGTGTAGTTGTATTGTTTCGAAGCTATATGCGACGATTATCTTGACTTTTTGTCCTTAAAACTAACCAGGTAAACGATCTAATGTCCAATATTCTAGTCCCTTATAAATATTATAAAACGAATTCGCACAGAATCTGGATACCAATGTAATTTGCTGGTACGGCTGTTTGTAGCGGTCGGAACAGACTAACCTTGCGAAGCTAACGAAATGCTAACACTAGCCTGGGGTGAATTTGGTCATCTGACAAAACAAACCAGGTCAGCAAGCACTAGAATGCTGATTTATTGATAGGATTTTATATCATTGTCATAAGAGTACGTCGCTTAAGTAATGTCCAGGCCAGTGGGTAAACGTAGACACAACCAGCATCACTTTTGTCATAACAGTTTATTGTCTTTACAGCTGGCTCTACGCTGAAACTTGTTTTTTCTTGTAGCAGGATTCAAACTTAATCCACAATGAACCTGGAACGACTGCCAAATGAGGAGAAGCTCAGCCTATGCAGAAAATATTACTTAGGTAACGTTAAGAGTATTTGGTTTGTAAATGTGCAAGTGTTTGTATCCTCCAGAAGTTATCCTCTTTATGCGAGAGGGAGGATAGATCTAAAGAAAAGCATGAGCAATCTCGAGTAGATTTTCCTAAATATTCATTAGAATTGTTGTTGAGAATGTTTTTTTTTTCCCCCATCTTTTCTTTTCTCAGGTGGCTTTGCATTTCTCCCGTTCCTGTGGCTGGTCAATGTTGTTTGGTTTTTTCGGGAGGCCTTTGTAAAGCCAACCTACACTGAACAGCTCCAGATAAAAACGTGTAAGTGTCAGAACTGCTGCTTAAATACCAAATATTTTACAAATCATTGCTGGACAATTTTAATTAAAATGTGTATTTAAAAACAGCATAGGTTTGATGCTCACTCCTAGTTTCCCTCAGTTGTTGTGCTGTGGATTCAACACTTAAAGGACTCATGTTATTCACTCATTAAGTTTTTAATCCGTTCAATATCTCTGACAAATGTCGTCAGTAAAACGTCAATGCCATTGTGTATACACAATTCGAACAGAATCAGTCAGACTGCTGGGATGAGGTTAAATCCTACAGGAGACATGATGACTTTTTGTTGATTGAAAGTTGACTGAATGCTTCCTAAGTAGGACTTGGAAATTATTAAATATTGTGCATTATACCTTTTTATATAGGTTTTTTAGAATAGAATTCCTGGATCCATATATTATATCCAAAATACTTAATAACAGTTTTATTTTACTGTACTGTATGATTACTGTATTAGGAAAACACTAACAACCATATGACTCACTATAGGATTTTTAATATTCTAGTATATATTTTTGATTGCTATAAATAAAATGTATATCAAATATTAATTTGGCCCATATTGCCCAGCCTATAAAGTAGCACAAAATATACATCAAACATTTCTGGCTAGCTGACATTAGCAGACATTTACTTGCTTTGTTCAAATCACCAATTAAGACAGTGAATGTCCTTGTTAGTATTTTGTTTGAGAAATAAAATATTTTCCCACATACAGTACAGGCCAAAAGTTTGGACACACCTTCTCATTCAATGCCTTTTCTTTATTTTCTTGACTATTTACATTGTAGATTCTCACTGAAGGCATCGCAACTATGAATGAACACATATGGAATTATGTACTTAACAAAAAAGTGTGTATTTTATATTCCTCAAAGTCGCCATCCTTTGCTTTTTTGATAGCGCTGCAAACCCTTGGTGTTCTCTCAATGAGCTTCATAAGGTAGTCACCTGAAATGGTTTTCACTTCACAGGTGTGCCTTGTCAGGGTTAATTAGTGGAATTTTTTCCCTTATTAATGGGGTTTGGACCATCAGTTGTCTTGTGCAGAAGTCAGGTTGATACACAGCCGACAGCCCTATTAGACAACTGTTAGGAATCATATTATGGCAAGAACCAATCAGCTAAGTAAAGGGGAAACGAGTGGCCATCATTACTTTAACAAATGAAGGTCATTCAGTCTGGAAAACTTTGAATGTGTCCCCAAGTGCAATCGCAAAAACCATCAAGCGCTACAATGAAACTGGCTCACGTGAGGACTGCCCCAGGAAAGGAAGACCAAGAGTCACCTCTGCTGCTGAGGATAAGTTCATCCGAGTCATCAGCCAGCCAGCTCAGATTAGAGACCAGCTGAATGCCACACAGAGTTCTAGCAGCAGACACATCTCTAGAACAACTGTTAAGAGGAGACTGCGCGAATCAGGCCTTCATGGTTAAGTAGCTGCTAGGAAACCACTGCTAAGGAGAGGCAACAAGCAGAAGAGATTTGTTTGGGCCAAGAAACACAAGGAATGGACATTAGACCAGTGGAAATCTGTGCTTTGGTCTGACGAGTCCAATTTGAGATCTTTGGTTCCAACCGCCGTGTCTTTGTGCGACGCAGAAAAGGTGAACGGATGGATTCTACATGCCTGGTTCCCACTGTGAAGCATGGAGGAGGTGTGATGGTGTGGGGGTGCTTTGCTGGTGACACTGTTGGGGATTTATTCAAAATTGAAGGTATACTGAACCAGCATGGCTACCACAGCATCCTGCAGCAACATGCCATCCCATCTGGTTTGCGTTTAGTTGGACCATGATTTATTTTTCAACAGGCCAATGACCCCAAACACACCTCCAGGCTGTGTAAGGGCTATTTGACCAAGAAGGAGAGTGATGGAGTGTTGCGCCAGATGACCTGGTCTCCACAGTCACCAGACCTGAACCCAATCGAGTTGGTTTGGGGTGAGCTGGACCGCAGAGTGAAGGCAAAAGGGCCAACAAGTGCTAAGCATCTCTGGGAACTCCTTCAAGACTGTTAAACTATTTCAGGTGACTACCTCTTGAAGCTCATCAAGAGAATGCCAAGAGTGTGCAAAGCAATAATCAGAGCAAAGGGTGGCTACTTTGAAGAAACTAGAATATAAGACATGTTTTCAGTTATTTCACAGTTTTTTGTTAAGTACATAATTCCACATGTGTTCATTCAAAGTTTTGATGCCTTCAGTGAGAATCTACAATGTAAATAGTCATGAAAATAAAGGAAACGCATTGAATGAGAAGGTGTGTCCAAACTTTTGGCCTGTACTGTACATCAGTGCCCCTAGTGACATTTATTATTTAAAACACATGTTGCACTTATTAAACTCCTATTAAACAGTATTTTCACAATTTTATGAGCTTTATTGTTCAAGGAAGGCAAAGCTAGAGTGTGATATGATATACGTGTGTGTGTGTGTGTGATTTAATGCCAAATATTTGTCTTGTGTGTTTTTCATCTAGATGTGAAGCGCTCAGCACTGGGGCTGCTGTTATGGGTTACAGTACTCACCACATGGATTACTATTTTCCAGCACTTCAGAGCAGAGTGGGGGGAGGTGGGAGATTACCTCTCCTTTACAATTCCACTGGGCATTCCATGAGACATTTTTTGATGACAGGTCTCTTGAAAATAACTAATGATCCACAATAAAGGACCAAATATGTTCCTCCTTTAACTACAGTGAAAAGAATTGGTGATGTATGGGTCTCGGGAGCTAAATTCATTAGCTGCACCCAAAACTATTTTTACTTGTGTATGAATGACAAATAAAAAAAAAATTAAAAATACATGATGTTTCTAAGTTGCAATATTTTCATTTCATGTACTATATTTCCCATGGCAAGTCAGAATTCTCTTCTTATGTTGGAATATCATTATCCCTCTTGGATCTATGAATCACTATGGACTTTTTGTTTGGTGACCCATCTGGGAGTTATTTTCTCCATATATACTCCTAATAGTTTGCATTGTTACAGAAGTCTCCTAAAGTCTGGACAATCGCTGGCGCCTGTTGTGAAACCCAATAACTTAATCCCTCCAAGTGTCCCCACTTCCCTAGCATCCTAAATGAGTCATAACATAATCAGTGCCATTTTTAGTCACTCCAGTCAAAGCTTAAGTAACAGGTTCTACATTACTAACAGGGAGAACATGTGCCTGCTGTGTAGACTGCTGACTTCAAAAGAGTGTGCCAAGTATCAGTATGATCAGTACTTTTCACAAGGCAGGGAGATTTATGGGGATTAAATAAATAAAAAAATCCTTTTATGGGCATTGTTTCCAAGTGTGTTGTACTTTATGTGTACTGAAATAAGCAAATACATTCATTCAAGTACTGTAAGTACAATTTTTAGGCACTTTCATTTTATGGCACTTTATATTTCACTAGATTTCAGAGGTAAATATTGTACTTTTTAATTTCTCTACTTGTATTTGACAGCTACTCATTAAGATGATGTCATCCACAAAACATTTAACCAGATAATAAAATTGGTTGTATCCTATTGTTATAAAGTAACCAGCAAAATGGAAAGTAGTTCAAATTAGCTTCACCTAGGCCAACAATGCATTACAATGCTTCTTACTCATTAATGCTTAAGTGATAAAAACATCAATAGAATATTCAATCATACAATACCCACAGGAGCAAATTTCTGCATTATGAGTAGGCTCCTATTAAAATGTTTCTGTAGCCTACTTATTACTTAGATTTTGAATGCAATACTTTCACTTGCAATGGAGTTTTTAAACACATTTACTTAGTTTAAATTATCTGAATAGTTCTTCCACCACTGTGAGAGTGAGTGATGGGGGCAAATAAGCTTATTGGCAGTACAAGTGCTCTGGCATGTGTGTGGGACGTCCCCGCTGTCACTGTCTGTCCGGCATGAGCTCACGTGGGTAAACAGCATCGTCTTTTGAACTTCTATTTAGAGAGACCTTCCCTGACAACCGACCTTAAGGATAATATACTTCGTAACAGGTCTTATAACTGAACGGCGTGTTCGTATCGTCAACCCTATGAATAAACTGTAGGCTACTGCTAATAGCTAATAAACACGGTAATTACCAATAAGCTCGCAACAGCTGCGTCACTCCCAAAACAATATCTGGCCCCGCCTGAACACCCAAGGGTACGCATTAGTCCAGAACATAACAGAAGCAAGGTGCCCCACTATGAATTCCCAACTCATTATGCAACACCAGTATAAAGCACACACCACAACAGTCAGTCACGTATATAACGGCGAGGAGTCAGACAGACGGGCGCACCAGCTCATCACTCAAGACTTCACGCAAGCGGTTAAATAGGGGCTGTCCTTTCCCTTTCGCACACTTACTTGGTCAGGGAATTTAAGAGGTAAGTGGCCAGTGTTGTATGCCTCGTAGTGTAACCTGCAGTAGCTTCACTGTCAAGTCAGCTAATTCTTTCCCCAATTTTCTGCTGATTAGAAATGGACTTCATCCTGCCACCCACTCTGCCAGCTGGTGGTATCCCGTGGGAGAAGGTTTTACCACCTCTTCTTCCTCGGCTGAATGGGACTTATGGACAATATAAGTGGTCCCCGAAGTTATTAATTCCAGAGACTGATAATGGCAGCTCTGCAGAGGTAGGTCATTTTAATTTACTATAGCTAGGTATTGAAAAAAATAAAAAATAAAAAAATTGGAAAAAAATAAAACATGAATGCATTTATTTTGGCTCATTAGAATGGCATGGAAACACAAATATCCTTTTACAATGGTACCTTGTTCAAAAGGCAGAGGATTCACTCCATTTGGCTCAGAAGTAGTTCCCTCATTTTTCATTTGAAAAATATGAATATATTGATAGTACCTTTTTCAAGGCTTTTAACTGCATCTACCTTTTCATAAGCAGATGAACCCTTAGATGCAGTTGAAAGCCCCCCCTCAAACTTTCACACTCAAATATTGTTAAGGATATCTGTGCATGGTGGCAAATATGACTTTTTGTATTATGACTATTTGCTGTGCTTAGAGATATATTATTTCTCTATAATAATATACAGTATTTCCACACTTGCTTGTAGGTGAACTGTGATGAAAGCGGTTTCACAGTTCAAGTTGATGTGAAGGACTTCAACCCAGAGGACCTAATGGTCAAAGTCATAGGAGACTTTGTAGAAGTGCAAGGAAAGCATGAAGAGAAAAAGGTTGGTATTCTTTGAGGAGAATTGCTGTATTTGTGTTGTTTTATTTACAATATGGTTTGTTATCCTCTAAACTTGTATTCGTTTCTGTGTTTTGTTAGAAGGACGGTCAAGGGTGTACAACACGGCAGTTCAACCGCCGCTACCGAATCCCAAAGGGAGTGCACACTATGGCTTTGGAGTCTGCAGTCTCTCCAGAGGGCATCCTTATCATATCTGGGCCGATGCTGCAAACCGAGAACTCCAGAATCCGAAACTAAGCACATAAATAGCAAACACTCAAATCTTTGCTATCATCACCATGTGTGGAAACAAATGTAACAGAAGCCTTTATGAACACAGAGGCACAAACAGAAATAACTTAAGGCTCCTCCAGTCACAGCAACGCTCAGCATGTGCCAAAACACACATTTGTTCTGTTCCTGGCACTGTTTCCCTGCTCTTTCAGGTTTGTATATACTGCTCTGCTATTACTCGACAATCTTACATAATGTTTCAAGGAACCGGTCTTTGTAAATATTCTGTGTTCACAGTTGTTTTTGTGTGTACCTTTTGTAAAATGCACTCTAATGTGATTAATGGCGCACACAGACATATCTCCAAGCTCTTTAATGTGGACATATTTCTTTTTAAAAAGTTCAAATAAACTTTATTTCTTTATAAAACAAATAATAAAAGTGACTACTTCAAGTGTTTCTTGACAGTGTTCAAGTAACTTGTTGCTCTTCCAGGAATTCATTCAACATAGAATCCACTTCACTAAAAGGGAAAATGCAGTAGATTATTTTTCTGGAATTTGGGGTGCTATATTTAGATGATTCAATAACATTACTACAACAGCTACAAGATTAACAGCCTTCTGGGAGCAACACCATTCTGTATAAATCAATTTGGCTAGCTGAGCAATTTAATTAATAGATCATTTTACCTGATCTGCTCCTTTACCCATTTTCTCTGTTTGCGAAGGACTTGCAATAAAGGGTCATCTTCAAATTCCTTTTCATCTGAATCTGAAAAAGGAAAAAACAGTACTGTTGAAGGTAATGAGCATCCAAGGAGATGGTTGATAATGGAATATTATCAACATGTGTATATATAGAGGACCAAGACTATAAGTAATTATTTATTTGAACCCCCAAAGGCACATGCAGTTACACAACAGCATGCAGGGAAAAAAAGTGTTTGAGGGGTTTTGACCTAAAGGGTTCTGAAATATTGTGGAAGCTATTCATAGGACGGATTATTTACTCCACAATTGCCTACAGGGTAAAGGTTGGTGCTCTTTGCTGCCATACGCTCACCTTCAGCTTCTTGCAGCAGCTGTGTAATGACCTCTGAAGAGTTATGTTCACTGCATGGAAGAACTGAGGATTGTGGAGGTGCAGAGGAAGTGCAGAGAGGAGAAACCGAAGAGACAGGGGTCCTTTCTGCAGGAGATGAGTCCACTGTAGGGAACAATACCTCTGAAACTACCTGTCAAGGCACAATGAGAACACCATGCTGGTTAATACAGCTTTTAATTACCATAATAACATTCCACCTCAACATTAGATGATGGTGTGCAGAGTGATGGCAACATCATTCAAGATATGTGGTAAATGGACTACATTTAAATAATCTTTGCCACTTTGTCATGTTATTCTAACATGGCTATAAATGAACTACATGCAAATCTTAGGATTTGGATATCCTGAAGACAACTTAGAACGATTATTTTCCACAAGAACTAAATTACGGAATTCAAACTGCTGGCAAGTTATGAAGTTATAAGAGGAGGAAAAACATTAAGACATAAGATGCTGATGGCTTCATAAGGCACTCGTATGAATCAAACTACATAGCGAAAGTATTAAATAAAATAACTTGAGAACAGCTTGTGCTTGTTCTGACCTGTCCTAAGGCACTGTGGATTGGAGAATGCGGTGGTGCATGATCGCCACTGGTTTCACTGGAAAACTCTTGGCATCCCTCCTGTTGCAGCTGCTCTGCCCGCTGCATGACCTTTTTAGGAACTCTTTGATGTGAAGAACTCCTGTTTGCAGAGCCAGGGCCATCTGCCTGTTCCTTTTCCACATTATATCTGATGAAAAAAAAAAAAAGTAAACTAAAGTATTCAGACATGAATTATTATTTTTTTGTACACTGTGTGCATGTTTCAATACTTGACCTTGATGATTTCTTCTGCTTTCTGAAGGACATCGCTGTCTTCTTCTCTTTCTTCTCTGACTCTTTTTCCTGGGCATTCTCTTTCCTGTTCCTCTCAGATCTTTTGTGGTGACTAGGCCCCTCTCCTACTATAGCTCCACATGAAGCAGGTGGTGGGGATGGCATGTGTTCACAAATTGGCTCATCAGTGAAGGTATTCATTGGTTTTCCAGGGACTTGGCTCTTTTTGCGGACAACCTTGCTCTGAGACTCATCTGTACTTTGTGAATTGTTTCGTTGTGTGCGGGCATGAGATGACTGGATCGGACAGGGCAAGACATCACAGAGTAAATGCATGTGAGCAGGAACATGGGAAATTGTCTGGGGCTGAGAGACAGGGGAGCCAGAGACAACAAAGGCAGGGAAGGGAGGTGGACCTGAAGCTGGGGGCCATAAATGGTAAGCTTCTGTGGCTTCTGGCTGGGGAGCAGTGATATGGGGATGTGTAGCTTTTTGTGAGAATTCAGGAAGATGAGTACTCTGCTGTTGCTATGGATGATGCAAGAAAGAGGCAATTTCAATTATTCTGTAAATCTGGAATAGACAAAAGAAATGGAGTAATACGCTATGACTCCAACCTTGTAAGCATGTCCACTGGCAGAGGGATGGCTCACACTGGTGGCCTGCCAGCTAAATGCGGGACCATGAAGACTGGGGTGGGTCTGGGGCCACGCCCTGGCCTGCTCCATCTTTCGCCTTAAACGCCACTGGAACAAGATGTCTTCTTCTGGGCGTGTAGGGGGCACCAGAGATGGAATGGATTTTTGAGATGACACAGTTTGAACTGGGTCTGAACTGGCCTTCGCTGTAAATGATAAACACATTGCACAATAACACTGACACAGCAGTACAGATCAAAATATTAAGCATGAAAAAAAGAGGAATCATTTACCACAAGTTCAAGGAGAAATGACATTGAGCAAGTTTAAATTTGAAAACAGTAACAAAAATCCATCTATAAAATGTATATTACTCCACACTCTTGCCTTACCAGTAGTAAATTTGATTATACTGGGAATCAAAGGTTGGCATACTGGTTCATCTACACTGACTGGAGAAGAGAAATCTGAGCAACCCACGCCCTCTGAGCTGACATGGATAGATCCATCGCTCAGACTACATTCACTGTTAGAAAGACAAAAAGTTACTTACAATTATAGGAATTAACAAATGTATCATTAATTGTTATTCATTAGTCTTCATACTTTCTCAACAGTAGTCTGTTGGCCCTTTCTTGAAGGTGTAGTATCTCTGTGTCATCAAATTCACCCTGGGAGGTGTCTGACAAATTCTGAGAAACAGAAGCAACAGGCAGAACACTCAATAAACCACAATTTTGCTCGATATTTCAATACAAAAGAACACTCATAATAATGTGTAAATGAATAAAACTAGATAATTAAATTTTCTTTACATTTGTTAAGTCCCATTAGCTGGCCTTATATTGCAAACAAATATACTGAGGTTGTTTAATAATTTTGTGAGCAGGCTGAACAAGCCATAAATGTATCAAACATGGCTGCATAAATGATGGCTTCGCAGGCATTTAGTAAACACAGAGGTTTCCAAATGGACATGTGGTGTGGTGTTGAAATGCAAATATTTATATGAACACTTAGTCAAAATAAGGTGTCTCTCCTGCAGACATTCTGCTTCCTGGGCATTCAGTCAAATCTGGCATAAAGACCCAAGAGCCCATTATAACAGTACACCCAAAGAATCAAAACAAGATGGAATATTATCTGATGTTCTTTTTTTCTTTTTAAAGAAATAGCAATGCATTTGTAGGCACATCCAGAAATGTCCTACAAACAATACATTATTTCATTTTAGTAGAGAAAGACAATATATCTTAGTTAACTCGGAGTAAACTCACAAATGCACACACAGTAAGAGATTCTCTGCATGGGGAAAGGGAAATGTCATGTTGACGCTGTCCAGCAGGACTAAAAATGGCATGTCCATGGTCATCTATCAGAGGCTGGATAACTGGATCTGTTCAGAGGAAGGGATTCCACAGAAAGAGTGTACCAGAAAGGTTGCTTTCTACATTGAAATCTGAGAGTAGGTAACAGTTAATAACACCGACATTCAAAAACAGTAAGCATGCAATAAGTGAGAATATACCTTTGTCTGTTGTTTTAGTTGGTGTTGAACTGGGGGGTACAGATGAGGGTGACATCCACCAAAAAGGCAGCTGATTCTCTCCAACAGCAGAAGCCTTCTGCCGGCGCTCCTCTCGACTCTGTGGCAGACCATGGCGAAAGCGGTCTATGTACCTGGGAGAGCAAAGGTTACTCCTGCTGTGGTGTGTAGTAAGTAGTGATTCAAATAGTAACATAAAATAACAAAGAGCAGGTTTACCATTACATATTGCACCTTTTTATTGAAAACTGAAAGCATACTTTGCCAGCACTGAATCCTGCTCAGCTTCTAGCTCTGAGGAAGCTGTGGATTGTCTTGCTCTCGCAGAGTCTTTGGGTGTCTCCAAGCCAGATGAGCTTGTGGGGCTGGCTGGAGAAGATCCACAGTCAGTGGATGGCCAGGACTCTGCAAAAACAGGTTGTCCATCTGTGGCGACTAAACGGTGGTCAGATTTCTCAAACAGCTGTTGACTCTCTGAACACACTGGAGTGTGTAATTGTGGACTGGGTCGCTGGTTTGAACGCACAGGACTCAAAGCCTGAACAAAAAAGTGATAGACATGCTTGCGAGGACTTAGGAAAGCAAACTGAGAATCAGATGTGTCTTGCAATATATATAATATTTACTTTAATACATACTGTTTTTTTCTTTTTCTTTGACAGGGACTGGCTGCAGGATGGGTGGTAGTGTGTCCCCACTCTGGACGCTGGCTGGAAGGGGTTCTGCCTTGTGAACACAGGCCCACTGCAGAAATAACACTTATGACCAACTGTAACTATTGTTTAGGTTACTATAAAATGCGATCTTTAGATCTTACCTGGATTTCATTACAGCTTTAGACCGTGACTGGAGATTCACATGACAGGATGCACTGCAAAGTTTTTTCAGTGTGGGTTTGATTTTTGCCTGGCCCTGAGCTCTTACTGTAACATAACTAACTTACAAAGACGAAGACCACACTATCCACCGGCCTTCCCGAGTTGACTTGGCATGTCCACAAGAGAAAGTTACCATGGAATCAAACGCTAGCACGACACAAATTGTCCGTAAGATCGCAAATTCAGCTGCTACAGCGGGGAATTTGAAGATATATTTATCTAACACGTCTAACTTTTTAACTGCAAACACAATTACTACAACATTATCTGTAAAACCAGAAGAAAGCGTCACTGTTTATGCCGATCGTTATTTACTACCAGACGTATAGCCAATCGGAACCGAGTTTAATATGATCGACATAAGCTTTACCCAATCACGTAGAACATCCTCGCTGCAAAAGCGCCAATCAGATCACAGGAACCCGGCAGCGCGCGGAAGAGGAAAGTCTGCAAAGGCTATTCTTTTGTCGATAACAAGCTAACTGTTAAGTTAGCAACGGTAATTTAAGCTAGTAAACGCTACGGTCTGATATAATAATAAAACGTTTTATTACATTTCCACTGAATGTATTTAAACCGCCAAGGGGAAATGTTAGTCAGCTAATTGTTATAGGCGGTGAACGTAGATCAAATTGGGCTTGCGAACTAGCTTTAATGTTGTCCAATGGTTAGCTGACTGTAGACGGTCTTAACGTCACCGCGGCTAGCTAGCTAACATTAACGTTAGGAAGCATGCGTCCTGTTGTCATCCAACGTTAGTTACCAGCCGTTATCAACCTGACAAGACACATTTCTGTTACCGACAGTGAATGTGTGGTTGTAAAACTGTGTTAACCTAACTTAACGTTACATATACGCCGTTAGAAAGGTGGAGATAATGCACCACGTCAAGATCAAGACTGAAAGGCCAGGTGAGAGTTGGCTCCCCTAACATTTTCACGTACCGTTAAACATAACCTAATCAACATTTTTCATCCTTAAGTATTTATCCTCCTGAACTAGACCATTGGCATTAAGTAATAAACTATGAGAATATCACCTACATTTAATATGAACTCCTTATTTTGGGTGTAGTCAATAATTCTTGTTTCACTAAAGCACTCACTGTTTTCCTTATTACTTAACGTTATACAGATTCAGAGGGGACAGGTGCACGAAGCAGATTGGATGCTGTATTAAGTGGACTGGTAGAGAGGAGTGAAAATGAAAGGTTAGTATAATTATTATTGTTAACATTTCAAACTTCACCAATTATTCTAATTACTTTAGAGTCAAAGTAACATCTTTGTGTTTTGAACAGAGAGCAAAATGAGGGTGATACTGGGAAAACATCAACGGACTCTTTAAACAAGTATGGATCAATTATTTGGATTTCAAATTTAATTGTAAATTGTTGTAAAATGTATGCTGGTGCACTGAAGTAACTGAATATCTGTTAGATTATTTCAACATTAAATACAAAGTGTAAAAGCTTGTTTTTATATTTCATGTTCCACTTGCTATCTCTAGGGATTTGTCTCCATCATCTGCTGGAAAAAGGCAAGTGTCTTTTTTTCAACAACTGATAGTAACTCAAAAACATATTAGTAACATTTATTTGTATACAGTTCTGGCTAAAAATAAAAATTTCAATGTGGTCCTGCCCTGCCACTGAAATAGATTTAAAAAGCTTTTGTGAATTTTCTCTACATGCTATAAAGTCCCCATCCTTGTTTTGATTTCTCCAGGCCATCAACTCGATTTCCCCAGCACCGGAGAAAGAAGCGAAAAGAGATGGATGAGGGCATCCCAGAGAGCAATCAGCATAAACAAAGTAAACTTCAGCAAAAAATTATATTCTTTTTGCTTTTTTGTTGTTTTTGTGTCAGTCACTGTGTGATCACTTTGCCTTTTACTTCATTGTACAGTTCCTCACCTTTTCTTTTATCTTGCCACTTGCTAGATTCCTACATTATTAAGTTGTTTGATCGCAGTGTGGATCTGGCTCAGTTCAACACCAGCACTCCGCTGTATCCTATCTGCCGTGCCTGGATGAGAAACAATCCTTCTGTTCGAGAGCCAGCTACTTCCCCAAGCCCCCCACACAGCATGGCAGAGGAAGAGGTGAGGCCCTACACTTATGTTGGACAACTTAATTCAAAATATGCAAATACATAAGCAATAACTCCTGTACGGCTTTAAAGTTATACTTCATTGAAAATCTTCTTTTAAGTATGAAACACTCATCTACTGTAGACAAGTATAGTGGCTTTTGAAAGTTTCTATCTTGTTCCTTTGCAGAGCAGCAACGCTACAATTTCTGTGGCCAAAAATAGTATGTCAATCAGAATAAAGACATTGTATCAAACATTAATACTATTTATGGAGCTAAAATATGATAGAATTACCTTCCACTATGCCTTGGATTTTATCACACCAAATAGTGAATCACATCATGCAACTTTGTGCATGCAATATAAAATACCTTTTAAAAACACCATAAACACGAGCAGGTTGGTTGTTAAACGCTCAGGACAGTTGACTGGGAATTGTTTATAATAATTTTAAAAATGTATGACAAAGCATAATATTAATGTACCATGGTACAGTTATATTGGATTCTTAGAATCCTCTAGCACCACTCTGCTTCTGTCTGACCATCATAAGGGCACTCTTGTGGCTAAGCAGTATAAACCTGCTAATGAAGACAGAAGCTTTGTGCTGTGTTCACAGTGCCTTCTGAAAACAATGGTATTCATGGTAATGATTATAGAAATCAGTGGTGGAAAGTACAAATACTTCGTTACTGTACTTTAGTAGTTTTTTCTCGGTATCTGTATTTTTAGTTGTTGCAACTTTTTGCTTTCATTTCACTACATTTCAAAGCCAAATATCGACTTTTTACTCCTGATGCGACACCAACATAGGCAGTGAAAGTCCAGTGCAGAGCTGGACGGCCCTGCCTCACTTTCCTGTCAAAGGTGAATGCGAATGTGTACAACTTTGAGAGTATGAATTGGGACCATCTTTCTAGGCACGAGTAGAGAAAAACTCAATGAGAGTAAATTGCGGGAACAGCAGTCAGGTATACTTGTTCTCTCCTCTCAAAGTCTGTCAGCAGATAACCGTAGCTTAATGTTTAGTTAATGAGGTCATATTATGATCATTTTCATTTTCAAAATTAATTAATAAAACTTATTTAGGGGTTGTTTAGGGGTTCCTAGTTACTTGCCTACAGCTAGCCAATCAGAAGCAGATAAGGGCGAGTCATGAGAAGCCGGTAAACACGGCTTCGGTTCAGCTGTGCATGTTCCCCTTGCCAGCTTAGCAACATGGACTGGAGCAAGAGTTTCAGAGTGGTGAGTTATTAATTTGTAACAAAATATTATTATATATTAATAATATTAATATAATTCTAATAATATTTCATCCATAAAGTTAAAACTGTGCACTGTCTCTACATCACAGTAACAACTTTCTGTCTGTTGACTGCCTGGAGGGTAGCTAGTGTTTGGAAGGGAGCGGAGAGATGTGTGCTGTAGCTCAGTGTTTTTCCACTGGTGTTTTTGAAGGCGTGTCAGACTAGCCGCTTGGCGAGCATTATATAACGCACATTTGGCTTTCATCCATGTGTTGTCACGTAGCAGTGTTTTCTGTGGGAACTATGATGGCACTCGTACATCATTTTAAAACAAGACAGTGAAGTTTAGTTACAACTCTGGACTGGGTTGTGGTGATGACGCAGTGGATAAGACGCATGCCTTTGGTGTGAGAGATCCGGGTTCAACTGTGGGGTCCCTGTCCCTGAGCAAGACACTTAACCCCTAGTTGCTCCAGAGGCGTGCAACTTTTGAGATAAATGGCAATTGCAAGTCACTTTGGATAAAAGCATCAGCTAAATTAATTAATGTAATGTAATGGACTAATGCAAGATGGAAAGCAGTGGATTCACATTGTCCAGCTAATTAGCATTTTAATAGTCAAACTGGGCAATATGGATGCACATCTCAGTAAATGATAAGCATCACATATTCAGCCCAGTCATTTTATAAGCAGTAAGTAGGAAACCTGGAGGAGCCCATTTGAATGGCCTGATGCAGCTGATAACATTAATATATAGAAAATATCTATAATTTACTGGGGCTATGCTTTAGTTTGTCAGAGTAGATGCTGGATCATCAGCCAGTATAAGCACAGCAGATCCACATCCAGCCTCAGCCAGTCTGAGCACAGTCTTATCAGACTTCATGAGGTCTGAGTTACTGTGCAGAGGTCTGTTCAAACCAGCACTGGATTTTTCTAGAAGATTTTTCTATTCAGGCTTCTTACAGATGGAGGATTGCAGTGAGAGCTTTGTGGTGTCAGGTGTGACTGTGCTGCAGCTCTGTTTTTGATTACTTAAGTGTTTTTAAAACCACTACTTTTTTACAAGTACTTTTTTAGGTTTATTCTGGATATCTTTGACTTTTACTTGAGTAAAATTTTTCATATGGTATCTGTACTTTTAAATATGAAGTACTACTTCCACCGCTGATAGAAATTGTCTGCAGAGTTGTTACCAGGGTGCAAAATTTGCACCAGCCAAATGCTGGTAAAAAATGCAAATGGCTGTTAGATTTGCTTCATTCACCAGCCAAAACAACAATGGTAATCTATTGAGTGGCTGATACACTTGGGAGCATTCACTAGCCAGTTGGCTGGTGGGGGGAAAAAAATAAGTTAACTCTGCACCCTGGCTGTCACTATCAGTATGTTTCACCACAGTATATAGAAAGTGTGTGTTTTTATTGTTTGAGGAAAGGCAAGTTGCTTTTGAGTATTTGAGTTGTAATTTTTCAATGCATTGAGCACCACCAACAAAATTGGGATTGTAGATATCTCAGCAGTAGAAATCTCAGAATCCCTGCAAATAAAACTGCATATGTTCATAATTAAACACCAGCAGTGGTAAGTGAGTAAAAGCATTTTGTGTTTGGGTTTTGTAATTTGTTTGAAGTGACTATGCTACTTAAATCTTTTCATTTTTTTCATTTGTATGGTCATGTCATTTTGCAGGAAATTGTCTTTAAACAGTGACATTATTTTTAAAGTATTTACGAGAGTACTTATAGTACTAACTAAGTTTCCTAGGCTTAAGATGGAAATATGCCTTGGTCTTTGGGCATTATAACACCAGGAGTAATATTGTGAAAATGACTGTTCCACTGCATTCCTTTTACCAGGCTACAGACATGGTAATCAATGGTAAAGGTCAGAACGTGTACAGACTCCCTCCTCCAACCTCCTGTCCAACCAGCACCTCTGGTGAACCCATCAATCTCCGGATCCCACAGACCGAAAAACCCACTGTTACCAAGGTACTGTATAATGTGCAATAGAATTATTGAGGGTGTTTTACCTGCACAATGATGGTGCACATCTGTTTTTCTATCAAGTTCATTAGTTAAAAAATAAAAGCAAGTAAGTCTGAACATTTTCTCCTCCCACAGTTAACCGATTCGGGTCCTGTATCAGGTTCTCTCATTTGTGACCACATGGAGCGTTGGAAAAAGATAAGGCAAAAGTATGTTCTTCATGAAAGGATTTTACATTTTCATTGACCTGTGTACTAGTCACAACCCACCTGAAGATCAAAGAAAACATTGTGGTGGTGTTTGTCAAAATCTGTAAAGGTTGACCAAAGAGCCTGACTTGAAAACAAAATGAATTATTCTGTTCTGAACAGAAATGTAATTTTAAAGTTGTTCTTGCATGCATTTCAGCACCTGTCACATAACAATGACCAGGCTTCATTTCAATTTAGCATATATATATATATATACACATATATATACATATACTACCGTTCAAAAGTTTGGGGTCACCCAAACAATTTTGTGTTTTCCTGAAAAGTCACACTTATTCACCACCATACGTTGTGAAATGAATAGAAAATGGAGTCAAGACATTGACATGGTTAGAAATAATGATTTGTATTTGAAATAAGATCTTTTTTACATCAAACTTTGCTTTCGTCAAAGAATCCTCCATTTGCAGCAATTACAGCATTGCAGACCTTTGGCATTCTAGCTGTTAATTTGTTGAGGTAATCTGGAGAAATTGTACCCAACGCTTCCAGAAGCAGCTCCCACAAGTTGGATTGGTTGGATGGGCACTTCTTGCGTACCATACGGTCAAGCTGCTCCCACAACAGCTCAATGGGGTTCAGATCTGGTGACTGCGCTGGCCACTCCATTACCGATAGAATACCAGCTGCCTGCTTCTGCTCTAAATAGTTCTTGCACAATTTGGAGGTGTGTTTAGGGTCATTGTCCTGTTGTAGGATGAAATTGGCTCCAATCAAGCGCTGTCCACTGGGTATGGCATGGCGTTGCAAAATGGAGTGATAGCCTTCCTTATTCAGAATCCCTTTTACCCTGTACAAATCTCCCACCTTACCAGCACCAAAGCAACCCCAGACCATTATATTACCTCCACCATGCTTAACAGATGGCGTCAGGCATTCTTCCAGCATCTTTTCATTTGTTCTGCGTCTCACAAACGTTCTTCTTTGTGATCCAAACACCTCAAACTTGGATTCATCCGTCCACAACACTTTTTTCCAGTCTTCCTCTGTCCAATGTCTGTGTTCTTTTGCCCATCTTAATCTTTTCTTTTATTGGCCAGTCTCAGATATGGCTTTTTCTTTGCCACTCTGCCCTGAAGCCCAGAATCTCACAGCCGCCTCTTCACTGTAGATGTTGACACTGGTGTTTTGCGGGTACTATTTAATGAAGATGCCAGTTGGGGACCTGTGAGGCGTCTGTTTCTCAAACTAGAGACTCTAATGTACTTATCTTCTTGCTCAGTTGTGCAACGCGGCCTCCCACTTCTTTTTCTACTCTGGTTAGAGCCTGTTTGTGCTGTCCTCTGAAGGGAGTAGTACACACCTTTGTAGGAAATCTTCAATTTCTTAGCAATGTCTCGCATGGAATAGCCTTCATTTCTAAGAACAAGAATAGATTGTCGAGTTTCAGATGAAAGTTCTGTTTTTCTGGCCATTTTGAGCGTTTAATTGACCCCACAAATGTGATGCTCCAGAAACTCAATCTGCTCAAAGGAAGGTCAGTTTTGTAGCTTCTGTAACGACCTAAACTGTTTTCAGATGTGTGAACATGATTGCACAAGGGTTTTCTAATCATCAATTAGCCTTCTGAGCCAATGAGCAAACACATTGTACCATTAGAACACTGGAGTGATAGTTGCTGGAAATGGGCCTCTATACACCTATGTAGATATTGCACCAAAAACCAGACATTTGCAGCTAGAATAGTCATTTACCACATTAGCAATGTATAGAGTGTATTTCTTCAAAGTTAAGACTAGTTTAAAGTTATCTTCATTGAAAAGTACAGTGCTTTTCCTTCAAAAATAAGAACATTTCAATGTGACCCCAAACTTTTGAACGGTAGTGTATATATATAAAAAACCCTTGATAATACTCACATTTCTTCTACAACTTAAGATCTGCCAGTGTACTGTATTTGGTCTCTTTTAGTGGTTTGCAAATTGCTGGCCCATGTAGAAATTTTACTTCCTCAGAGCTTGCATAATGCCCACTTCTTGTTTTACTTACTACATTAGTTAAGTATCTGGAATTAAAGAAAGAAGACGAGTCCCACTAGGCTCAGTACATTGTTGGGAAAGATGGATTAGCAAAATTAGGCATGTACATATCTTCTCTATTCTCCTCTATTTTTGTTTGCTTTATTTTTGGCACATTGGATACAAGTTGATAAGAATATGAGTTTATTGGATAAGAGTGTGCATTCTCACAGTTAGAAATTGGGAAAAGTGGTGGAAAAATTTCAACTTTTTGGTATAAAACGATTTCCAACATACTGACATTGTAGCCGTTATGAAGCCTGGTTATGTTATGTACAATTTATGTGCATTTGTTTGCAAGCCAGGTTTTCTTAAAAATCGACCAAAACATCCAAAAGTTTAGAATGAGTTGAGCTGACCCATATTGAGTGTTTTTCTTTTTTTTCAGATGGAAGGAGTGCTCTAACAAGAACCAGTTGAGATACAGCGACAGTATCAAGATCCTTAAAGAGATGAAGGAGCTCTATGATCACTGACTGGCTCTCCAGCACAGAATGGACTATGCAGTTGGAAAGGAGCCATGGCACAGCAGTCAGTATTTGAATGCACCTGCCATCTACTCAGTCATACTCGTAGGAAAGCATGAACAGAACTTTGAGCCTTAAAAAGACCATATGTCCTATGCATTGCAGAAAAAAATATTTTCAAGGATGTTTGAGTTTGTTGCAGATTTTTTAGGGGGACATTGTAGTGTGATGTGGGACTGTTTTATTCATAAACATTCTGCATAGATGGCTGAATAAATGAACTTGCTCACCAACTTTCCACACACTGTGACTTGTGCATTAACAAGACTGAAGTCCATTGTGGTCTCTTCCATTTTCAGATTTGCTTTCTGAACTTCAACACATTAGTATCGACCAGAGAAATTAAGACACACTAAAAGGTTGCCTCAGAGGTTTTAATTGTTCTATAAGAGTAGCCTATAGATAACATTTGAAATTCACCATGACTCATTCTTTTTTGACGTGCAAACTTGTCGCTTGTTGGTGCTTTATCAATTATCAAAGCCAGAGATGACACCCCAATAAATTCAAATGTAACTGAGAATTTTCATATTCTGAAATGACATCCCATCCTGAAAGGGATAATCTTGTAATGTAGCTGACTAGATAGCAGAACTAAAGTGCAGCCAGCAAGTGTTAATAATCTGCTGAATTAGTCCCTGGTAGGGAATATACTGTTGCCTCACTTATAATGCACCTTAATTATTGGTGAAAAATTATATTAGGAATGTGAAATTGGAAAGTTGCAAAGACTACATTATTAGAACTTTTTTGTTTTCACTGGATTTTTCATGTAATTCATACCAGTTTTAGTAATGCTTAATGGAGGAAGTCAGTGCTGTTTTGATAGCACAGCCTTCTAAATGCTCAACTGAGGAAAGCATACAAAGTTACATATTTTCATCAAGATAGTAAATGACTAAGAACTAAGTGCTGGAAAGTCACATTCCTTGACAGCATACTAAGAAGGGCTACAAGTTAATGTTTTCAGAGATATATAAGGAACTAAAATGCTGTGAGACAGACCGGTTGGATTCTTCCCCCCAGTTTTTTGTATTTGAAACGAATCATTCTGATTTGTGGTGTGCTTTCAATTCAGTGGTTTGACTAACAGTATGTTCGATTTTGCAAACACAACAGGTCGAGCATAGAGCAAATAGCATTGTGGTATCCTGTAAGATAAAACACCATCTGGTGAGTAGTGTACTCGTGTTTGTGATGTAGAAGGAAGAGAATAGCTCATTAAGTTTTTTTTTATTCACGGTATTGAAGTGCATAAAGCTCAATTATAAAAGTTCAGTCTTGTATGACGGGATCATGGATGCTGCTATGGATAATAAGCCTGTCAAATATGAAGCATCAAAAGCTTACAAGCAAACATGACATTGGTCTCTTTGTCAGGTGATTTATATACATTTCCATATCACAAGTTTTGAAGGTTATAGTTGGTACAAAATGTTTCAAATGTTTTACATTCAGTGTTACACAAAGACATTTAATATTTACATGTTAAGTCCACCCACACAGGTGTAAGACCTAAAACAAATTGGGAGCTATGTCATGTCATCAAACTGCATGTACTAGTAAGAAAAAGGTGCCATGGGGGATGTCTTACAAGTGAAAACAGCTGTTCATAAGTAAAACACAGCGAATATTCTGCTAATTTCTATAATAGATGTCAATTTAACATGTCATTTTCAATTCATCCTATACTTTTCTCACTATTGATTACAAGCTTTTTTGTTTGTTTTTTTAAAAGTTGGATTCATTATATTTGCATTGTCCAGCAGATGTGGAGGTCTTAATCAGTGCTCAGCGTCTCTCTCTCCTCAGCGGTGACCGCTTTGCTTTCTGTGAAGGTTAAGGAAGCGGATCTGTCCTTCCCTTCGAAAGGTGCAACAGAGTCGGACCTCCGGGTAATCCGGGAAAAGTGTGACGACAAGGAGCGAGAAGACATAAACGACAAGTGGTCCTCTGCCAGGGCGCTCTCTAGGACAAAGCATATGGACTGCTTGAGCTTCCTCTGGAATTCATCACACATGAAAACATATAGAATGGGGTTCAGGCAGCTGTTCATAAAAGCCAGACACAATGTCAGAGTACCTCCGATTCTAATATTCTCCGACACAACGCTTAGGTGTATGAACTGCACAACATGGAAGGGCAGCCAGCAGATGAAGAATGCAAAAATGATAGAGAAAACTATTCTGCGAGGTCTCTTTTTGCTGGTCCTCTGCAGGCGACCTGCACGAACACTAATGGCCACATAACATACAGATATTACCAGGAATGGAATGAGGAAGCCCACAACAAAGCGAAAAATGGTGAGAATCCGATATTGCTCTTGAAAAGTATCTGTACGAGGATAACTACAGTAAGTGATGTTTTCGTGCAACTGAAGATCACGGAAAGTTGCGTAAGGGGTGCTGCAGACCAAAGCAGTCATCCAGATGACAGCACAGATGAGCTGAGCCTTGCGGACGGTGCGCTTGTTTTGTGCCCACACCACCACCCAGCTTGACAGGCAACGATCCAGACTTATGGCTGTCAGAAGAAAGATACTGGCAAACATGTTGACCACTGTCACTAATGTGTTGAGTTTGCACATGAAATCTCCGAAATGCCAATGGTGATCCTGAGAAAAACTAATGATGGAGAAAATTAGGAAGGCCGTAAAGAGGAAGTCAGCCAGGGCCAAGTTGAGAAACCAAACGGAGTTGACTGTTCTCTTCATCCTGAAGCCTGTCACGTAGATGACTAGACCATTGCCCACTGTCCCAGCCAAAAATATCACACAGTAGATGATCAAGGAGGCTAAAAAAATCACCCTTCTGACAGTCCCACTCTCTGGTTCAGCCATAAGTGCACTGTTATCTACAGCTGTATGGTTATCTGAAGAAGAAAAATTTAAATGTGTTGTTACAGGCATTCCTTCAACACATTCTGCAATATGCACTGAAAAAACAGAATTTGGTAACTTTTATATTGAAAATGAACTGTTTTTTTTAACCTTGTCCTGGCACATGGTCTATGCAACAGAGGCTCTGGGACAAGACAGGGTGCAGTAGTTGCAGAATACTTACTAAATATGTACTAAAGTTGCAACTTCACTTTTCCACTCATTTCACTCAATTTATATTGTGGTCAGAAATGTGTAAGTAGGTTTAAGCATACCCATGTTACATCAGTTTAGAAAGAAATGATGGTAGACCACCTTTCTGTTAATGCAATTTAAAACAATACAATAATATTTTTAAAGGCTCTTACCAGTAGTCATTTTGCTGGTGCAACGAAAGTTGATCTGTATCTGCTTCTGCCTTTACTTATTCTCTCTCTCTGATTACTCCTCCTCACTTCATGCAACTGCCAATGAGACAGTGCTTTGTGCTGCTGTCATGGCTTTACAAGAAGTAAGTGATGCACAGTGAGTGTAAAAAAAAAAAAAAATGCTATTCAACAGAGCAGCATGCGGTCTCAGCAAAAGATGAAATAAGCTTTGCAAGGGTTGTATTTATTGTAAAGCTGTTGTGTGTGAAAATTAATTATTTTTCAAACCCTTTTGATTATTGGAATTAACTAAAAACATCTTAAACCTCTATCCATTTGTATTTTTATCTTTATCTTAAATGCTTGTTTGTTGTATGTTATACAGTTCACCTCTTTCACGAGGTCCATCCAGACCACCCAAACACACACACACACAAACAGTATGCTTCACACTCCAGTCTATCAGGCTGACTTCAATGTAAACACAAGTGTTCATAAGAGTTATATTTTATTCATGATTTCTCAGTCATGCACCAAACATAGCAGAACAGTGAGTGGCTGCTACCATTCAAAGTCAATAGAAATAGTTCCATCATTCTGACAGCTAATATTGATGCTGTATAGAATCACTCATTGATCACAGTGAGGAGCAGGATGATGAAGTGAGGGAAAACATGTAGGCACATGTGCATTGCAGATTTTGTGTGTGATTGCACGTTAGTTGGACGCAACAGTCTGGTCGATCCAGCTGCGCAGGTAGGACACACGAGCGTACACGGCAGGGGTGCGCACGTTGCAGTTAGAGGTTCCCCAGGACACAATACCCACAAGGTACCACGCTCCTCCATTCTGACAGACCAGAGGGCCACCAGAGTCACCCTAGAAGGAGAGAAACAGGTTTATCTAATAACCTCACAGTGCATGGGTCATGTAATAGCTAATAACGGGATTTTTTCTAGCTCTTGATACTGTTTGATAGTGATGCAGGGATGAGAGGACTTCTGCACAGCTTCACACAGGATGTGGGCTGACCTGCCCTTAGTTGAAATTAGTTAATAAAACAGGAAAACGGATATGCAGCAGGAACTTCATTGTTGAGTAAGAATACTTTAAAAATGAGTAGTTGCTAAAGTACCAGCTCAGACATCAAAGATTGCTTTTACATGTTCGGCAAATATTGAACTATTCATTATCAATTTGGACATTATGTGTATAGGCTAATATTTGAAAATCATTGTCATTATATATATCATTACTTAAAATGATTTAATATATGCTTGTAATGGTTTATTAATCACTTATCAGTTGTTATCAAACCATAATCAGTAGCTAGTGCTTGGAAATCGAACATTTTAATATCAGTGTTAACTAATTTTTCTTGTAAATTTGTATTTCAGGCTTGGAAATGGTTGTTACCTGACAGGAGGACACTCCAGAAGCACCAGCACAGATCATGGCATCAGAGATTCTGTTACTACCCCAGTACTGCTTGCACTGAGCAGGGCTGAGCAGAGGCAGCGCAGTCTGCTGGAGGTAGCGGGGGGTTGCTGAGAATGAAGAAGAAATGGATGTGAGGTCCAGCTGGGCAAATGTTTCTTAGGGAAGTATGGTGGATATTTAGCGTTGCCTTTATATTTTTCCTTTGTGGAAATGGAACTGTTCATATCTGTGTAAGTTTATCACTGTTTGTAAATGTACACTGCATGTAAGACTTTGAAAGCAGTCGCTCACTCACAGGTTTGGCCCGTCTTGCCCCACCCAGTGGTGACACACATGGAGCCAGAGGGGGGGGTGGTGTTGGAGTTGGCCAAGCACACAGGGGACACACGGGGATTCATCTGAACTGGGGATGACAGCTTCAGAAGCGTGATGTCATTGTTGAAGTTTTGGGCGTTGTAGTAGGGGTGAGTGATGGCCTGGATGTAAAGGTGAACATAAGTCATAAGCAAATGTGATCATTGCATCATTGCATTCCAGTGACACATCTACCCA